TGCTACTCAAATGGGCCAAACAGCCAGATGGCTCACCCCGAGCAAAAGCTCGCCTAGTGGTGCGGGGTTACACAGATGCTGATGCGCTGGCTGGCAGATTGGACACGGCATCACCTGCCTCAACTCGATTGGGGCGTGCTTGCCTCCTCAGCATTTCAGCCAATTTGCACTGGTGCGGCTGGAGCGCTGATGTCACGACAGCCTTCTTGCAGGGGTTACCACAAGAGCGCAAGCTATGGGTTAAATTGCCTCCAGACGCGCTTCGACTTCTGGGCGGTGATGAAAACACCCGCATGCTCCTGATCAAGCCAGTTTATGGGCAGCTGGATGCACCAAAGCGATGGTACTTGGAAGCAACCAGAAGATTGACTTCACTTGGCTGGACACCTCATCCTTTGGATCCTTGTCTCTGGCGTTTGTTTGAGCCTGCAACCGAAGGTGAATGCCCTGTTCTTTGTGGACTTTTGACCCTCCATGTTGATGACATGTTAGGAACAGGGAACCCTCAGTCCCAAACATACATGGCTGCTGAAGCTGCGTTGAAGCAAGCGTTTTCTTTTCGCACATGGCAGAAAGATGAGCCTTTTGAGTATTGCGGTGCGAAGATGTACCGCGATGATGACGGCACGTGGCATGTGGACCATCAGAGTTACATCAGCAAGATCTCTCCTCTACCCTTGGAAAAGAGCAGACAGCCTCACCAACCTATGTCTGACAGGGAGCATACTATGTTGCGACAGTTGCTGGGTAGCTTGCAGTGGCCTGCCGTGCAGTCATCACCACACCTCCAAGCTTCCACTTCACTTTTGAGTGGTGAGATGAGTTCTGGACTTTCAAGCCCCTTGCTCGAAGCAAATCGGCTGCTGCGGTTTGCAAAAAAGCAACAGTGATGTACACCTGCGATTTCCACCACTTGGAGACCTGAAGGATTTGAGGATCACTTGCATGTTTGATGCAGCACTTGGTGTACGACACGACGGTTCCAGTCAAGGGGGGTTTCTCATTCTCTTGACACACAAAGATGCCTATGCAGGAGTTGAATCTCCATATCATCTTTTGGAATGGCGCAGCATGCGACTGCCTCGAGTGGCACGTTCCAGTCTTGCAGCAGAAGTTCAATCAGCTGCAGCAGCAGTGGATAGCACCGAGTTTGTGGTGCGGTTTTGGCAAATGATGATGGATCCCCGATTGACTTTACGGGAAACCTTGCAGATCACAAACACGACCTTGACTCCAACCTTCATCACAGATGCCAAGGCCTTGTACGACAGTTTTCATCGAGACAGCATCAACCATGGCGCGACTGACAAACGCACCAACCTTGAGCTTCGAGTGATCCGCGAACAAGTTGAAAGTGTCGGTGGCTTGCTCAAATGGATTTCATCTGAGCGACAGTTTGGAGATGGCTTTACAAAAGTTGCCGCTCGACAATTACTGAGCGACAGGTTGAGACATGGAGCCATCAAGTTTACCTTTGACCCAGAGTACACGGCCTCCAAGAAGAAGACAGCTTCTCAGAGAGCCAGGAGCAGACAGGAATTTTCAACAACTACCACCAACACTCACCACAACACCACACACAACCTTTCTACTGAAGCAGCAGAAGAAGATACGCATGATGACCGTCCGCAGTGGACTGAATCAATGGACGTTGACGAGATCTATGGCTCCGTGGATGAGAAACATCTCTGCGAAGAGCAAAGGCTCCTTGACGATGCGCACGTCTCGGTGGATGAAGCCACTTTTGTCGAGACCTTTGTGCCTCAGAATGTCCTGCACTCTGACCTCTATGACGTTTCTGACCCCATGCACTCTCCTGAGAATGTCCTGGCCTCTGCCGAGTCCTTTGACCCTGCGAATGACCTAGTGACTGAGAATGCCAACACGTTTGTGAATGCCCAAGCTCCTGCGGAGACCTTTGTTCCTGTGAATGTCAAAGCCCCTGTGGAGAGCTTTGCCCGGGCGAGCAATGTCGCGCGGCCTTGTCTAAAGTATGTCATGGCGCTGTCACTGCTGGCTGGTTGCGCGGGCGACCCCCTGTGGCCAATGGTGGACAAACACCACGACTGGCGTGATCAATGTGCGCTGGGTGAAAATTCGAGCGCGACTGCTCACACTGGTTTTCACTGGATTTGGGTGATCTTCCTTTTCAACCTTGTCTTTTCCGTTTGCTGTTTTTGTGCGGCACTTCTGATGAGACGCCGATGGTTGGAAATGGATCGAGCACGGCTTGAACTATACCGTCAAAATGAATACTTCCGTGCTGAGATCAGGAAACTTCGTAATGAAATCATAGACGTTGACTGGCAAAGACAAGACCTGCAGTTGAAAGTTTTGGATCATGACAGGATCCGCAGTGAAGAGCGAGAAGAAGATCAAAGGGTCGTTCGAAAGGCCAGTGGTCTACTTGACCGCATTTTGGTGGAGCTCGAAATCTTGACAGGTTTCTTCATCTATACCACCCCACGAGGGGAATGCTGGCATAGCTCTGATCGATGCACCCATTTGCGAAATTCTGAGAGAGTGCGACGTAGAAGAAGCTGCTCTGGTTGTCATCATGATTTCCTGCCGCCCTGGACCAGACATCCAGACTCAGGAACCACATTCTTTGAAGATTGTGCAGCTTTCTTTCACCAACATGGACGTTGGGACTACATGCAGACAGTCATAGAGTGAGAGCCGGACATGTTTTTCTTTTTAAGGACTTCCCTTCCGTGTTGATTGCATGCCATGCAACCCATGGAACATGTCCTTTTGCAGATTCTTGCAGCAGCTCTTTAAACAGAGAAGACTGCCTCATTGATTCATTCTGATTCAGCATTTCACATTTCACCTCTCCTTGCCTTGACGGCTTAAGTGGGAGGGAACTTTGGCCAGATCCGATTGCGGCGCGGAAAACTTCGAGCGCTTCCGCTACTTTGTGGCAGAGAACTTCGTGTGTCTTGCCCCAATTGGTTTTGCCTCCAATTGATAGTATATATATATAATATGAATATACCATCATTATTATTATATAGGATATCCTGCCCTATTATGTTTTTTAATGGCCCATTATTAATATCCTATAATAGGGCATTTAAAATAATGATATATCCTATATAATGATATATATCCTGCCCCATTATGAATATCCTGCCCTAATAATATATGAATATACCGCTCCAAACATCTCCAAACCATCCGAGAGAAGTCTGCCCAGTCTGCCAGTCCTCCTGCCGCATGCGGCTGAGCTCTTGCCACTCCCGGCGCCTCTGGCGCCGGACCAGTCGCTCCTGGTGATTTCCGGATCTGGGGAGATCTGGGGATCCGGAGAAACTTGGGAAATCGATGGAAATCGATGATAGCTACTGACCATTACTGACCTATATTATCCTATATTGTATGGCAACCATTTAAGGGTTGGTTGTTTGTGGGTGTATGATCTTTTGAGCGATTGGAATGTGGAATGACTTTTTCTTACCAAACCTGTTCCGTTCAACGATGTGGGTGCGAATGCTGGAGAGATTTCGTCTTTGTCAGACTGGATCACAGGATGTTCACAGCGATTTCTCAACTGCTGATCAACATTGCTTGAACAACCTATGTGAAAAAATGTGTTGGTCTGAAAGTAGGGTACCCAATATTCATCAAAATTCCATGGTACCATCAGTTTCGAAAAATGAAAATGCACGAAAATGCCATCAAATTGGGGATTTTGACGATTCACCATTTTCACACAAACGTAGAAAAATAGTTCCAACCTGGAGCTTTTTGGGAGTGGCTGAGTTTTCTTAGGTCCTCAGCTGCCATGCGCACACGATTCCACCTCTCCCACCTCGGCAACCAACATTCACCGTGTCTTGCAGCAAAAGTGGTATGTTTTTGCATGAAATGGAGGATGAACAAGGAGGAATAATGATGAACATCATTTGAACTGAACAATGATGAAATATGATGAACATCCATTTCTTCTACAGTTAAACTATGTTAAACTACCACCTATTGTTGCGTTCACCAGGGTTTTCCCACGTGTTCCCTTTGATTTTGATCGACATTGCGGCCTACGGCCGCACCGAGTGCATCACCCAGCTTGAACCTCTGATTCTGCCAGGTGCTCAATGCGTTCCAGCACGTTTTGCCTCGGTGATTGGATATGAGATGAGAGACAACGAAGACCGACCTGCAGCTCTTAGGTGATGTTTTAACATGTTTTAACGTCTTATGTGTGAAACTGGAAAGCCATGACCCGATGATCCGTACCGTTCTCAGATGTTCTCAGGCGCCTGCATCGCTTGCATATTTCTGACTCGTGCTTAAAACAAGGAGATAAGAAATTGGATCAGTGTCTGCAAGTGCAACTTTGCACCGACTCAGCTTCTAAGGCGCTTGCACCCTCTCTGTCTTAGCTCCAGCTTTCTGCCATAAATCCTGAAGCAAAATCAGCAAAACACGGGCTGGCTGAGAACGGGGGAACCAACGGTTTCCATAAAGGACCACAATCATACGCTGCAAATCAGGTATAACCCGCTGTGGTTTGAAAGGCGGAGGTCACCAGCGAAAAAAACACCATCAGCAGCTGATCAGCAGCTGATCCAAGTCACCAGGATGTGAAAAAAACACGAAAATCGGCTGAGGACAGGTCCTGATGTGCACTTCGAAGCTGCTTCCATGAATCAAAAAGCTCGGTGGGAAGCCGTCGACGTTGCTTCCTCGGCGCGACGTGAAAAACATCAGCTATAGAAACCGAAGCTCCTTGACACATGCTGCAAGATGGTTATGAGTTGAATTGATTTGATTTGTTTGATTTGTTTAAAGTTTCGACGTCTTTAACAAACACAAACATGTTGGAGGCCGAAAGCCGAGTCTTTTTGGCCTCCTACATATTCCGAAACATCCTCCTACGATGGATCCAACGTATCTTTCCACTGCTGGATCTGCAGCATTTTCCTGCGCACGGCAAGCCAGTCAGCGCTGCTCGAAAGCTCCACCAGCCGAGAACGTGCAGCGCGAAAAGGCGGCGCTCAACACAAGTCGAAGCAAATCTCCTGCAGCGGCGCAGGCATAGCTGGCAAGAGCCCTGCAGGTGCAGTTCCTGAAGTCCTAAATATGATCTAAATGCAAAAGGCACATAACATGCACACAAATAACATCAAATAACTGCCTCCAAACTCACTACCAGGCCGAAAGAAATATATGTCGTCACATATTATGTCTTCCTGGCTGTTTGGGGGGGTGCTATGCTCTCTAATGGGTCGAATTGAGAAAAAATGCCTGTGTGACCGTGAATACAGACTTTGTCGGGCGTTCAATGTCATGCTCACAACCAGTTCAACAGTCAATGGATTGATTTAAAATATTTAAGGGAAATGTTACAGCTAGGCAGTATTTTTTGCCAGCAAATTAACTATGCGGCTGTGCTGCAGATTTTCCCCGAAACCAAGGGGCACCTTCTGTTGTAACATGTTTTTTCAAAGTGAGGTTCTGCATGTCCAAGCCTGCTCAGCCTGTTCCTTCAGCGCCATGGGGAAGCAGTCTTTCGACCTCCTGGCCCCCCAGAAAAGCTACATGTGACTGACAATTGCTGACAGCAAGAGCACAACATGTCAACTATTCTCATCCCCCGAATATTAAAAACCCTATAGATGGTCCCAAAATGTCATATCATCATGGTTCATCCCCTATTAAACCATGGTTTTCCATGGTTTTCCATGGTTTTCCATGGTTTTCCATGGTTTTTCACTTCACATTCGGGTGATGGGCTTCTAACGGCCTGCGCGGCTTCGCCACTTCGTGGGGGAATGGACCATTCGCCACTCTCCGCTGCGAGGCGGATCGAATCCAGCCAGTCGCGTCCCGGTTTTCAGCCACCCATCCAGCGATGGGTCGTAGGTCGTATTCCTTGGCCAAAGCATCGATGCCATGATGGCCAGGGCCAAAAAATCCCAACAATCTGGCGATGACATTCACAGTTTGCCATGGAAAATCACCATTTTTCAGTTCGGTAATCCATCTATTTCTATGGACCATCTATACCATGGCGAACTGTTAGTCATACCCAGAGGGTACCTGTAAAAAATGACCATATGTTGGGACCTGTTGGGACTAATTCACCCCTGCGAGCTTCGGCCAAATCCACGGCCACCTCACGTTCAACTGTGAGCCTCGGTGAACTTTCCTCTGGGGATGGGTTAAAGGTTAAAACCGATAGTTTGAGTGTTGGGAACTGGTGGTAACTGTCACTGGCTTAAATGGATGTTCAATGATGTTCATCCCAAAATAGATATATATATATATACCAGATATATGATATATCATAATATACATTTATCTATATATTTATCAGTATTTATCTCTATTTTACAGATTTTTACAGCAGCTTGCCACCCATTCCCTGGTGGGAGTCCGCACCCAGCAAGGCTGCAAGAGACCAACAGGGCGCGGAAGCGAACTCCCACTGAAGCAGCCTGACCTCAACGCGCCGTTGAGGCGTTGAAGAAATGTCTTCCGCCGATCAGGTGATTCAGGGCAAGGGATATCCTCTGGTAGTAGACTAACAAAGGGATTTAATGGGATTTAATGGGACTTAATGGGTTTTAATGGGATTTACCCTCTGGTAGACTAACAAAAAGCGAAATTGAAGCCATGGCCCAGTCGAAATAGTGAGTTTTCCCATGAAAAATATTGAAAAATGGTGGATCTTTCCATAGCTATGTGGCTGTTTACCAGAGGGTAGGTCAGAATCATGGCAACCTCGACCACGAAAGGTTAACCGTGAAGCAGGGCATTCATGTCTCCAGTCGAACTCTCTAGATTCTAGGCACATAAACATCCCGCGGCCCCGCTCAACATGACCTTGAAGCAGTTATCTGTCAGCCACAAATGGGTCACTCTTCAGACTGTTCGCAGCACAATCCAGGCAGACCCCACATCTAGTGTGGTAAAGCCAAAAAACATCCAAATTACATCAAGTTGCAATAGATATCAATAGATCATTTTAACATGTGGGGTGATAAAAACATCGAAACATCTATCGAAACATATAGCATTTTAAAAATCCAGGCTGATTGGATCGGGTTGACCACAGATCTCCTTGAGTCTGGCGGCGACAAGCTTCAGCAAATTTGGGATCATGAAAGGCCGAAGGCCGAACCTTGCCGCGCAAGTCCTCTCTTTGGACGACAAACATCACGGTACCTCGATCCGACAAATTGGTCCAACTCAAGTCCGACTCAAGTCGATGCCCCGCCGCGAATTCGTGGCAATTGATTAAACGCGTCAACCACGATGCGGTTTTTGAGACGTTCAACATCTGGATCTGTGCTGTTTGGCTCATCAAAATCCTGAAACATTTACGACCCAGTTTCGGGTCAGCTCGGAAGACCGACCTGGGCGACCTGGGCGACCTGGGCCCCAACTTCGTTTTCCCAGAGGGCCAAGTGTCACTGCTTTCCATCCTTCACCAAAGCCTCGAGCTCTTTCACGTGTCGGCTGGCCCGCGTAGAAACCGAGTCTGGAAAATAGCCTCGACTCTCAGTTGACTCGGTTGACTCGGTTGACTCCCTTCTCTACTCCTTTAGGGATTCAATAAATTAGTGCCAAAACAATCCCAAACTTACAGCGAACAGTAATGACACCAAGCCTAGTCTTGTCAAGCAGCTTTAGATCCAGGTCCCAGGTGGCCGAATTCGAATGACAAACAGATCCATGACTGGCTGAACACGATCCACGAAGCAAAACATCAGTCATCACTGCAACAGCATGGCCATGTACCAGTGGATGCTAAGGAGCCATGGCCATCGGGATACACCATGTGGCAATTCTTGGCTTCCTTAGCTTGCAACATGCGGAAAGGATGATGAAGGCAGACTGCTTTGTAGGGAAAGGATCAGATCAAACATGATGTAATACCGACATTCTCCGGGCAGTTCCAATTTCTGTCCAGGTGGCTATGTAGTGGTCACCTGCGATACCAGAAAAAATCAGGTCGAAAAAAAGCTGACACAGCGCGGGTTAATGAACGCATAGGTCAAGGGCCTGTAGGTTGCCGCAGCCAGAAATCCAAGCGTGAGGTTATCCTGTGCCAAGATGTGCCAAGGAGGCAAGTGACTCAATGATGCAATTTTGATGGGTGTATGTTTTGTTGAATAAATGTATGTATAATTATAACATATATATATATACATATCATATGCTATGTTAGTTGAATCGGATGCTTATCAGCCAAGGGATACCTAAAGGCAAACGGGGTGACACCCTTGGGTCTCGGCATGGCTCTCAGGGTACATCCTTCAATCTGCTTCCGGCCTGTCTGCATCCGCGCGCTTGCGCTTTTTCCTGGGTGTGGCATCCGAGAGTTTTCGTAGCGGGTCGTGAGGTGCAGAGGGAGAACAAACAGAGGCCCAAACATCTTGTGAAGCTTGGAAATCCTCAAAAATCTCATCTAAGATCAGCTAAGATCAGCTAAAATCAGCTAAGATCAGCTAAGTTGCTTTGGAATCTTTGGACTTGCCTGTCCCGAATCAGACACTTGGTGCACTTGGTATGTCAAACAGCACAACTTTGCTGCCAAATCTTGGGATTTCTGGTTCCAAAGCCTCTGGCGCAGAAACAACGTCTGCGTTGGAGGGGTCCACAGAGGGAGTCCTCACGTGGGTCGATCGTTGGGTCCAGAAATGTCCGGAAGGATTGGATGAACTCAGGATGATGAGGGGATGTGGTCTGCAGATTCCAACGTCTTTGACCCTCAACAAGTTCTCTAACCACCAAGTCTCGGATGCTTCAGCTGCTTTTCACTCTTCATTTCCAACCAATCATCCAAACCTGGCGGCGTTGACATGGATGACACAGGATTCTGAAACACAAAGTGGCACCCAAAAAATCCCATTGACAATTGACATTCATCATGACATTCATCGGAAAATGATTACCTATTGTTTACCATTCCCTAATGATCTGGTTGGTGGTATACCTACCCCCCTGAACAATCGATTCACTATGGATATCATCCGTTTTTCCCTAGTGAAAAGAACGAATAAAAAACCAGCCCCTGTTGAAATGACCCGGGTGCCCCCATGAAACCTGGCAGAAGCCGTTGACGCAGGAGCTCCCCCACGATGCTATTGGGCCTTGGTGGAATTTTGGGAGACCATCAGCCCTGGTGGAAAATGTGATGTTTTCCATTGAAGATGTACTGGTTATATAGTGGTTATAATAGTTATAGTGGCTATATACCAATAATAATAGTGATATCCCTATAATGATAGTTATAGTGGTTATATAGTGGTTATAATACCAATCATAGTGATTATATATGGCAAAAATATGAAAAAAACATGGGATTATAACATATTATATCAACAAAAGATGTACTGGTTGGTGGTTGACCTACACCTCTAAAAATGATGGAGTGAAAGTCAGTTGGGATTATGACATTCCCGACTGAATGGAAAAAACAAAAAAAACATGTTCCAAACCACCAACTAGTGTATGATATATGTTTAAAGTGTAAAGCATATAGACTGGATCGAGGTATCTGTCTTGAAAATAAAGGGTATCTGTTCCATCCAGTCAAAATGGCATCCCGTCAAAATAGCAAGTTTTTGATGCATAGTCTTTTTCAGGAGATAGTGGTGATAATGTTGGATTTGGGAGTTCCAAAATTCGGACAGCCGCATTTGGGTACAGCCAAAAATCTCGCCCAAAATCTCCCATTTGGGATATCTCCGATTTGGAAATTCGGAGGCGTTCATCAAGAGGACGGGGATGGGCCAATGGGGATGGCTAGGAAAAAGACCTATTAATTATCCTATAATGCCATATAATTCCATGTTTTCTGTGGGATGTAAAAACATCATTTTACATCCATAACTCGATATTAAAATCCCAATGAATTTAAGGTGTTCACCTCCCCCCCCGCACCTCTGAGTGTTGGTGCCGCAGAGCACTGTCTTCCCCGGCACTTCAATGAGTTCCCAAGTCCATCTCAAGCGACGATTTTGCGAACCTCCGTGATTGGATTGGATGCAAAGTCCCAAGAATTTGGACCCAAACTATCCAAAAACCATCAACATTTGATTTTCTGCAAACTGAAAAGTCTGTATTTAGGATACCTAATGTTCAGAAACCCACTGCGATCACCACAACTCAAATTGAATGTGAGTATAATATTTCATAATATTTCCTTGTTTCTTCAAAGCTGTTTCAACCAGAAATCTCTCAAATCCAATCCAGGTCCAAAAAATCGTCAGAAAGCACCGAAATCGCATCGACATATCACAGTCTGGAATCGGACAAGCCTGCAGACCTTGATAGCCAGATTCGCGCACCCTGACCAGTGAAGGCTTCCATACCTCCACATAAAACATCGGAACCAGTGGGAACCCAGGTTCCAAGCACTAGCCATTAAAAAATATCTGTGTTTGCCCAGCTACGCCCTGGATTCACGCAATAAGCAACATCCTCTTCTCCGGAGTCCAAAACAACATCCTAGGAAAGCACGCCATTGGGCTACAAGGCATCGAAAGCAAACTCATAAATTTACATATTTAGATCTACATGGATTTACAGGTCGGAAGTCATCCCTAATTTGTTCTCAGTCTGCTGCCTCACCTACTTCTCACTACGCAAGAACTCACCAAGGATAGGTCGGATAGGCATTTCCAAAGTGATGTGCAAACCCAACACGTTGACCATATCTGTCCAGAATCATGGTGCTGTGTAAAGCCCCATCATGATGAGCTTGGCACAGTCTTCGAGATCTTTGAGGCGGCTGTGGGTCAAAACCACGCAAATATTGTAAGATAGGGTTAGGTTCATCCCCATATCTCAAAATCACCAAAGTGTAGTCCGTATCCGTCACACTACGAGGATGCAAACCGGGTCGGATTGATTTGCCCAAGAATCTGCCAGAAAGCGGTCTCGTCGCTGCAGCAGTCGGGCTGCAGTCAAAGGTTCCGGGAAGGGGAGGAAAAGCATCAAGACACATTGGCCCAAGGCCAAAGAGTCAACAGTTCCAGAGTTTGAATATGTCAAATCTGTTTCAACTCGCAAATGTTCCAAATTGATGAGCATCTTCAGATGTGAAATGTTTGCTATACGTATGAGTTGTTTTTTTATAGTGACAAGCATCGACTAAGCGTTGGGTTGTTTCTGTCTGTGGATCTGCAAAGAGCCACAAAGGCGGCGGTTCAGAAACAGTGAGTTTCACTAACTCTGGCACCAGGACCACGGGAGAGCAAGGGAGTTTCCCTATTTTCCCTCTGGTTTTTTACGGATCGATTCTGGATTGATCTGAAAGTCCATATCATTCACCATTTTATTGGATCATTTCACTCTGGGATTCAGTAGTTTTTCTTGGATCCCAATGGATTTCCATCATTTTCCATCCATTCAATCGATTTCATATGGATTTCATATGGTGATAAATCAAGCTGAACATCAGCTGGATTTCTGGGTTTCCGGTCGAAGGCTTCAGCCCAAAGCGACGCGCGTCACGGAGCGAACGCCACGCAGCCAGTGCTGTGTCCAGTTCGTTGAGCCCATAGACCTCTGCTGCTGACAGCTGGTGCTGGTTCTTTCGGGGCCCAATAAATCCACAACAAACATCTCCAAAGCAACTTTATAAAAAACCACCACTCAGATTTCGTTAATGGACGACTGTTAACAATACATATATATATATAGATGATCTAACAGGATCTAACACGACATTACACGACATTACACGACATTTACGCGTCGCGTTACCGGGGCCACCACAGGGCTTCGCAACACTTGGCGGCACAGGCCATTGCTGGTGACCTGGCAGGTTGGTTTAGAACGGGATTTCCCAGTTCATGGAGGAAGATTACAGTTGGATGAAGATAATTATATAATATAACAATTATCATATAATTACTCTACGGTAAACAGATGTCAACGCGCCTGCAAAGTGATGTGACGACTGGCCGCAGAAGACCGAATCTGCGGAAAGCGCAGGACGTGCCATGGTTGCTATGGTTTCTATGGTTGCCATGATGGACTACTAGTTCGCCAATCCCAATCAACTACTAGTTGCCTCTTGTGGGCAGTCACTTGATGTCAGTACATCACTGTGTCTGTCTGGTAGCCGCCCAGCCTCTGGTTTGCACAGCGCTCTCCGTACCTGTCAACAAATTGCAGATTGTGGAAAGTCTGGGCATCGCTTTCCACAATCTGCCAGGATACCTCCACTAGCACAACCTGACAATGAAAAATCCCCACTGATTCTCCAAGGATTTTGTTCCGAAGACTTCGGGCTTTCCTGTTGTCATGATTTGCCATGGATTCTTGGAAGATATCATTGTAGTTTTGGATTGTTCTGTGATGTCGCAACGAGGGCACGCAGTCTTCGAACGGACTGCGTTGCTGAAGGACTTGATTGCGAACGGCGGCCTCACAACCAGCAATGTTCATCAATTTTCAACCCATTCATAATATCTGGGCACCACGAATTTCAAAACCTGAAATCAATTATGTTTGGCATAGTTTCTTTTAGTTTCCATCTGTATGGTGAAGTCGCTATAATTTGTTTCAAACATGGATTGGGTATGGCGACTTGAAGTTGTTTCAAACTACGCAAATTTGGAGATGTTTAGCATCAACCCACTCATGTTAGGTTTGCTTGAGGGTAATAATCCGCTGACCCCAAAATAGCGGGGGAGAGCGCGTGATACATAGTTTTTTGTGATAGTGTTCATCCAGAAAGGCCCCTGACTATGGATTGCGAGTTGAGAGATTGCGAGTTGAGACACCAGACCGCACAACCTTACACGACACACCACGCCCGGTGTGCAACGTAGGAACTGGCGACTGAGAAAAAAAAAGGGGTCCAAAATTATTGTTGCAAAGTAATGTTTATCTTGGTATGTGAGCGCAGGTCATGGTGCTACGGAGGGTCCGTGGCACTGTGTTTTGTAGTGGGGCAGCGGGTGGCAGTTTGTCCAAAAATAGGGTATCCAAAAATCCCACAACTTTCAAATTGGCGCAGGACATCCCATTTCTGGCCATCCTCCCCTCGGGCACAGACTAAGCATTCCAAATCACGCTCTGCATCTTGCACGCAACTTCTAGGCCTTGCCTACCATAGGCGAAACCCACTCGGTTGAGAGGCGGATGAAATCTTGAGGTTTTTGCCAGGATCTTGTCGGCCTCAAATTTCCATCACGTCTGTGATATCATGCTATCTTCTTGGATGTGGCTTTGTCAAATCAGCTACCCCCAATCCGCTGGTCAATCATCATATTCCAGCTGTTTTCAAGTGCCATTTAACAAAGCCAAATCACATGACAGGTCGATTACAGGTCACATTTAAAAGACACGATCCACTGGTGATCCATCCTCCTTTTTGTTGGTGAAATCCCACAGTAGAACATATAAAAACACCATAAGTTGTTTCACTTCCTGCAAATCTGCGATTCAAATTCTTGGAGGGCACCTGAAGGCGCAAGTTGCAAAAGCTGATGCTCGCACGGAATTTCTGGCCACCTGGCCGAATGCTACAAGTGGGGGACCCGAAGTTGGATGTCAAATAACTTCGATGTTCAAAATCTAGGGAAGAACAACATCCTCTGCACCTAAAGACTGAAGCCTCGGTGATTTTTGCTCAGATTGTGCCACGCATCAATTGCGAAACATCTTTGCACCTGGTGTTTGGCGACGAAAAATGCCATGGCTCTCTTTGACCACACATCTGACCTCCACGATTCGTCAGGATCCGTGGCTGATCAAGGGATATGAAGGTATATCAAGGGTAAGATCGCATAAATTATACAGATATATACAGATGTCATATTATGTGTACAATATCTATAGTGCATCATATGTAATCTAGCAATCTGGCATCTATATATACCATCTGGCTACTTAACATAGCGATGGAAAATCACCATGTTTAATTTAATAGGTAAACCATCTATTTTTATGGGCCATGGCTTAACCATGGCTATGTTAGTCATAACCAGAGGATGTATATATATATAGAGAGAGAGAGAGATTAAATCTACATATAACATATATCAACCAATTTGGCCATGTCCACCAGGTCGAAAAAAAATGGTGTTGCCAGCCCTGTGGCGACCTTGCGTTTGGCCGATCGCCTGTGCCTTCCAGGATTCCTGCCAGGCACATGGGACGGCCATCTGGGGATAGGAGATTCGAATGTTGTGAAAAATTACATATCAATATGATAGTTATCATTAATAAATGATATTAATTACTATCATTAATGATATCAATAATGATATCATTAATATTAATATTTAATATCAATATCAATGCATTAATGATAGTTAATATGCTGATATTTATTACATATCATGAATGGTTACCATACTTGATGATACTTACATATCTAATTGGTGGTTTGAACCCCTCTGAAAAATATGAAAGTCAGTTGGGATGATTCTTCCCAATATATGGAAAAATTAAAGATGTTCCAAACCACCAACCAGATATCAATTATTACCATACTTCATGATAGTTACATATAGTTACCATATTTGATAGTTGATGAAAAAAACTAAACTATGATCAATTTACAAATTCTAGACAAACTATCATCAACGATCAGCATGATCAGCATTATCACAAAAAACATCCTAGTTCCTCATAGTTCCTAAACTTAAAACCTTTGAAACTGTTTAGATCATCCCCTCTGTCAACTACCATTGCTGTTGGCTGCGCAGCAGCGCAGCTAGCGCGTGCCTGGAGATCTGCTTCACAGCCTGGGGTCATTTCTGGATGATGCGCTTCATGATGTGGATGTTCATCTCAAAACAAATGATTGTTATACTAAGTTATTAATATATTAATAGATATTACTATTATAGATTATACTAATCTTATAACAATAGTTATACTAATATGTTATACTTATAGATATTAATGCATATTAATGCATAGCCAATATATAGCACCAACCAGTATCTTTGCCATCCATGCCATCCGCTCAGATTTGGGCAGGTGCTAAAGCCAAAGAGCCCTGGGTACCTTCAATGCACAACTTCAACTCACAAAAAAACACCCATCGATCGGAGCTGGTTTTGGAGACATCATGAATTTGGAGAATTGTACTCCAAATGGTTTGAATCTATTTTATGAATGATATTCAATGATGTTATTTGTGACACCGTCTGAGCTGAGAATATCCGCTTCGCTGCTTCGCTGCTACCGCGGCCTCCAGAGTCTTTCACTTTCCGCAGCAGCTGCTGCTCCAATTGTAGCCGTTGCCTGGGCAAGAAACAGTACCCTTCAGTAAATTAACAGTTCGACCCTGCCAGTCATCGGGGTTGGAAGACTAGTTTCCACAATAAATTGGTCATTTTCAGGGGCCAACTGTTAATTTACTGGAGGGTAATATCAGTCATCAAAAACCGGTTCTTAGGATTCTGACAGGTGCTCCTCTTGGCCTTGAAAAATAAATGTTATAGGTGCAATAACCATATCTGGTTGGTGGTGCAATAACCACCTTGAAAACTGTGAGTTCGTCAATGGGAAGGATGAAAACCCATATATTATCATATATTATGGAAATTAAAAATGTGTGAAACCACCAACCAGACCATATATATAAACCATAAACCCACCATAAAACCCACCACAGGTGGTAGCAATTTTCTGAAGCCGAGCTGCCACTCTCTGAGGCGGCCCAGCACTTTGCCTCGAACCTCCCGCTTCAACCTGAGCCAGTCGGAGCCCCCAACGATGGCCATCAGAGAGATGGATAGACCATGGATGCCCTCTGGATTTAATGGGATTTAATGGGTTTTAATGGGATTTACCTGGTAAACGTTTACAAAAAACTAAATAGAAGCCATGGCCCAGTCGAAATAGTTGATGACTACCCAGCTATAAAATGCTGGATCTTTCCAGTTCGTTTTTTGGAAACGTAGAAACCAGAGGCTAAACCATCGAATTCTGCTCGATTTTCCACATTGGATCCCATCTCCATCACCGAATTACCCTCTGGTAATGACTAACAGTTCGCTATTGAAAATGGCCCAGTCGAAATAGTGGATTTTCCCATTGATAGCATGGTGGATCTTTCCAGTTCGCTATGTAACAAATTACCAGAGGCTACAGCTGCCAACAGTTCTCTCCAAGGGGCTCTTGTAAGAGTGCGGCCAAGCGCTCTGCTGGCGGCCGAACCTGAAGGGCGATTCGGAATGCCTGGACCGAAAAAACCACCATGGCTTTCTGTTGCGAAAAATGCTGACCCTCTGGTAATTTGTTACATAGCGAACTGGAAAGATCCACCATGCTATCAATGGGAAATTTCGACTGGGCCATTTTCAATAGTGAACTGTTAGTCATAACCAGAGGGTAAACACTCAAAAAATGGTGCAACAAATCAAACATATCATGGGTGTAACATGGTGTAACAATAATCATGGTGCACCAATACTGCCAATATCCCTCTCAATATCAATGCTGTATCGGGGCCTTTTGGGCCTTTCGAAGCCGTCGGATGCATAAATCAGCACCTCAAGGGCGACTCAACGATCTCAGGGACTTCAGAGATTCAGAGATACTAGATGTATCTAGCTGTTATCATTGTTATCATATGTCTAGATGTGCATGTAATATGCATATATCTAGATGTGCCTAGATGTGTATCTAGAATCATCTAGATGTATTCAGCCACAGTCTCATCATTGATCTTAGATCATAAAATAAACCATACGCATCAAGCAAAGGCTCTGACAACCAGAAGTCAAGGTGGGCGGCGCCCGTGACCTCTTTTGAGCACCTGGAAGACGCAAAACTTCAAAAATTGGAAAGCTTCTGAGAACTTGTGGAAAATGAATGAAAATGAATTGTGGGAAATGTGGGAAATGTGGGACACCACTCAAAAAAATATGTTTCGTCCTTGTTTTGTCCTCACCTGACATGCTGATCGTGTTCAACTTCACCCGCTGTCATCAAAGACGCTACGTTGACGTGCTCGTCGTCCACGTCGTCGTCCATGTCGTCGTCGTCGTCGTCGTTGTCGTCGTTGTCGTGCATGTTGCCGACGTCAGCCTTGAAATAGCAGATAAATCACCGCACAAATGATGATATTGCACAACAGTATCAAGATTGTAATACATGATATATATATATATATACACATTATATATATATATATTTTTTACATATATATATATATATGTTACTATATTATCATATCAATTCATAGAAATTGAATTCCATCTGAATTGATGGATGTTCACCTCCATTGTGCAAGCTACGAAAAATTCACCAGGAAAACGATGAGTTTTCCAAGGCTTGGACGACGTCGGCGCTGTTGTCATAGTTGTTGTTGTTGCATCGTTCTTGGAGGTCATTGCAAGACCTCAAAGCTTCCAACAGCCCCATTTCCTGATATTTTCTGGCCCATTTGCCCATTTCCTGGCCCATGTCCAACATCTTGGCCGCTTCTTGAGCACAAAAGAGAATCATCACGCAGTAATGCAGTCCGATCTGCTCGATTGAGTGCAGCTTCATTTAGACTCTGATTCTATGTTGAGAAATATTGAGAATCTTTCCCCTTGAGACAAGTGGCTTGAGTTGGCCAATGGCATCTGCATGATGTTCGACATGATGATATACCGCCTCACAGCACACAGAAAAACACAGCTTTTCTTGCAATTCTCAGGTTTTTCATGGGTCTTGTGAGTCTGGTCAGTCTGGTTAGTGGTCCCCAAAATTGCCTTGTTCTTCAACATCTTCAACATGGCCATCCGAAATCTCTCAATGCGACAGAAATACATCCGAAATCCCACGATATCCCACCTGCAGCGGAGGAATGTCAGAGTCTCAAAGGGTCACAAAGCTAGGAGCCAGCGGAGCCAGCGACCAGGCATTGGTCTGCGACAACTGCTGCTTGGGACTATTTCCATTGGGCAACATGTATTTTTGATGATTCTTGCAGGTGAAAACACACAATTGGGGGGTAAACCATTCGTTCTCGGCGGCTGGTTGGGCCGATTCTGGTAGGTATTCAAATTGACATCAAGTGCAACGTCTTTGATAACATTCACTGTTCTCTCTTGTATCAGTCGCGCTGACGCCGATCTTTTTGTTGTTTCGCTTCGCGACAACTTGGATGTTTCGTTTACATGCCCTTTTGGTAAATCACAGAAGAATATGGCACAAACATACGTTCTCACTGTCCTACTGTCCCACTGAATCATCTCTAAAAGTTTTAGACTCCAAAAGAGCTTCGAAGTAGCATGTACTTCAGGAAAATGCGTGCAGCAAGATGGGCAGCAGCCAATCTGGACCAGCTATGACCCAGCTGTGCTTTCTCTGACTTTCTCCCATCACAGAGATCTTCTGTGGAAAATTTCATCTTAGATGAAAAATGATGAAAAGCTGCACGGATTCCAGAGCTTCAGATGTCCTCAGGGCAACACGGTGAAGCGGCGACACTTGACAGGCATGGGTCAAGGGTTCGTGCCCACTCAATTCGATTAGATGATGAATATGTATCTGTATACGCATATAATATGTAAATATTATGATGGCTCTGAAAAGCTTGACGCAGTTTAATCAAGTTTCATTCATGTATCGCTGGAATTTAGCGTCATTCTGTATCTGCCAGCTCCGCTATGGATACAACTTGGGTCCCGACATTTGACAGTTGCAGCTTCTGGAGGTTTAGTTCCTTTCAAGTGTTCGCCACAGACGTGCGAAGAACAAGGAAGTTGCCAAGGACGTCTGGTGGCGCTGCAACATGCTTGGGCTGCTAGGCTCTTGACCTGCTTGAGCCTGAATCACGCACGCTCACCTCAGTGTCGTGGTCGATCAATGCTGTTCCCATCTCCAGGCTGAATGCTGAAACTGCAGAGGGCCAAACTGGGAACGATTGCGAAGACTCTTCGGCAGGATCTGTACCAGCAGATGGTGTTGCAAAACTATCCTCAGCAGCACTTCACGTGAGACCATTGTTGGTTGGAGCTTCTCACGGCTTCTCAATACATTCTGCATGCAACTCAGCATCTGCTGTAACGGCGGCAGCACTTGCATCGCTGTCCTCACAAGTGAGAACTCAACGACGCAAACATAGAACCATTGTAACCATTGGGCTGGGAAAAACTTGTCGACTCAATTGCTGCATGAATTGAACGGCATCAATTTTTACCATATGTTCATTCCTTGGCGCCTTGGAAACGGAATTTGCAGAGCACCGATCAAGAAAAGATGGAGCACCGATGCATGAGTTGAAAAGCTTCTGTACTTCGTCCTGTGCATCTTTATGTGCAAAACTTTCCTCAGATTCTGAGTCGAAGTCGTCATAGAATTCCTCCTGGAACAGCGAGAGCCAAAAGGAAGTAGCGCAAATACACCATCCGCTTAGAAGCACCCTACAAGCCGTGCCTCATCATAGCTATCTCCTTGGTCCTTTGCCACAAATGACAAAAGAAAGAAATCCTCTGTAAATGATTGAAACAATGAATGTTATGCCCTTATGCAATACCAAGCACCCGCCTCGGGTTCTGTTGCTTCTTCTCTTGCTTCTTCTCTTGCCTCCTGCAGCAGGTCCTGTCTGCACCGAGAACTCGCAACACTGGGCTCGCTGCAACCCTTTACTACATCCTCTGCAACACACGTTTTCTGACAAGCACAAAGCAAATTATGCGTCGTTCAATACACTTCATGAGATCCAACAGAAGCAATAAATTCCAGCACATTTAAAGCTGCTCTGAGTTTTGAGTAGAAGAGCCATCCTCGAAAGCTTCTTTCGTCACTTCTGGCAGATCTTCGCTAGTCACTGCCTCCAAAGCATCTGCAACTTTCATCAAAAATGAAGATGTTCCTGCAAATCTGTAGTAATTCTTTCTCTCAAATCAGAGAGTGGCTGATTTCTTGCATGACGAGTCACGCAAGTCAACGATAAAATGAGACAAACGTCCTGTGATGCAATGCCAAGCACCTGCCTCGGGTTCCGTTGCTTCTTCTCTTGCTTCTTCTCTTGCTTCTTCTCTTGCTTCTTCTCTTGCTTCTTCTCTTGCCTCCTGCAGCAGGTCCTGTCTGCACCAAGAACTCGCAACACTGGGCTCGCTGCAACCCTTTACTACATCCTCTGCAACACACGTTTTCTGACAAGCACAAAGCAAATTATGCGTCGTTCAATACACTTCATGAGATCCAACAGAAGCAATAAATTCCAGCACATTTAAAGCTGCTCTGAGTGTTGAGTAGAAGAGCCATCCTCAAAAGCTTCTTTCGTCACTTCTGGCAGATCTTCGCTAGTCACTGCCTCCAAAGCATCTGCAACTTTCATCAAAAATGAAGAGATGTTCCTGCAAGTCTGTAGTAATTCTTTCTCTCAAATCAGAGAGTGGCTGATTTCTTGCATGACGAGTCACGCAAGTCAACGATAAAATGAGACAAACGTCCTGTGATGCAATGCCAAGCACCTGCCTCGGGTTCCGTTGCTTCTTCTCTTGCTTCTTCTCTTGCTTCTTCTCTTGCTTCTTCTCTTG